ATTCAGGAGGGATAAATTCAAGATCATATTTTGGCTCTCGTAGATTTGTTTTCATTTTCTTCAGCTTTAATTTGAATTTGCATATCAGTTATGCATTAGACAGCTAAAAGCAGGGTCAGCATTTCAAGCCTAACAACTACTTTGCAGAAGAAAGATGAGACAATCCGCTCCCATAAAGATTTACAATCTCAGAAACCCAAAGGGACAAGCAGTTCTACTTTGTCCTATATTTTGTTATATGCCGTCTAGGCAGTTCTGACTCATAGTGACCCTGTTTAAGGTTTCCAAGGAGTTGCTGGTGAGTTTGAACTGCCAATCTTGCAGTTCATCTTTGCACTCCAGTGCTTAGTCTACAGCGCCACACTAGGATTCTGTTGTATAGGATCAGTATTAGTCAGAATCAACTTGATAGCAGTGGTCTTAGTGGGTTACCCCAGTAAGTAGCTAATAATTGATTGATATACAAGGGAAATAGAGCATCTGGTTTAGAGAATGCTGAAAGGACTCATAGTGACCTTTGTGATGTAAAAGTTTCCTTCTAATTCCAATTTATTGTAAAAGTTTTAACTTTTGTACACTAATTCCAGAATGTGTATTACATTTTAATGTAATACAAATGCTAGCTACAGTTAGCTGTTAACTTAGCTAAATTATTAGTAGGTGTCAATGTAGAGAGCCCTGGTAATGCAGTGATTAAGCACTTGCCTACTAACTGAAAGGTTGATGGTTCCAACCTACCAGCTACTCCGAGAAAGAAAATATGTCCCTATCTGCTCCCTCCCTTAAAGATTTCAGCTTAAGAAACCCAATGGGTCAGTTCTCTGTCCTATAGGGTCTCGCTGAGCTGGAATCAACTCCACAGTACCTAACAGCAGCAACGTGGGCTAGCTGCAGTATCTGAAATTCTCTTTCTAGATATTGATCTTTAAAAGTCCCCTTTTTAAAGTGTCGTGGTTATGAATCAGGCTGCTAACCTCAGTGTCAGTAAGCAGTTCGAAAATACCAGCTATTCTGCGGGAGAAAGATGAGGCTTTCTGCTCCCGTAAAGATTTACAGCCTCGGAAACCCTGTAC